GATTATTCGTTTCGATAGCATTGTTGGTATGGATTTGATAATATTAGGAGGGTGGTTAGAATTAACTTTAATGTACAGTGGGTGGTCACCTGGTTTTTTATATGGTTGAAAGGAACAATCCGATAAATTAAACGTAGCATCAGTAAAAAATTTACAATCTTTAAGTTTGATTTTACTGTTAAGTCTAAAATGAGTTTATCCTTAAAAAGGTGGAAAAAATGTTTCTTTATTTTTTTTGATTCTGGTCCACTGACCTTATAAAAACAGAACAAACGATCTTCTCTATACAATCCATTAGACTACAATCCATAATGTTACTTATAGTGTGCAGGATATAGAGACCGACAAGCTCACACAGCTCTGCCCCGTCAAAACATCCCATAGTGACGTCACCAAGTTTGGGTCACCAAGTCTCTTAACTCACATGTTATTGTGATCAGTAAAAAGCAAAGATTTGTTAGAGTGATTTATAACGCCAAGTGTTTTGTCTGATACTTCTGCGTATTGCTTAGCGTGATGTAAGGATTCATGAAGTAGTTTTTGTGAGATTGACAGATAAAACTCGTTAATACCAAACTGAATAAAAGTACAATTTTTTTTGTCTTGAATATTATTAAACCATTTTATCACGTCGTCTGTGTTATTCCACTGGTTTACAAACGTGGCTTTTCTCACTACGTTGTTGATATTTTCAAGATAAATTTTACTCACTTTTCCAAGTTCCGTTTTAGATGGGTTGATCAATCGATACTTTGTGTTTTTAGCGAAATCTTCCTTATGGCCTTTAATGGTTATAAATGCTGATCTCATGGCAAGACACTTCATTCTGTCGTCGATGCCTAAATCTTTTACGATTGTTTTTGCTTCTATATTAATGGTATTATACTGCTTTCCATCAGATTTTTTATATGCTCTTGTTACATTTTTGTTGTAAAGTTTATTATAAGATGCCTTTTTCATAATTTCATAAATATTCATACATATATATATATATATATATATATATATATATATATATATATATATATATATATATATATATATATATATGTGTGTGTGTGTGTGTGTGTGTGTGTGTGTGTGTGTGTGTGTGTGTGTGTGTGTGTGTTAGTTATTAAAAAGTATACTACTATACATAAAATATTTTAAGTTGAAAAAATAGTTTCATTTTTTTCAGAATGTTTTTTAAAAATACCCTTTTCTAGTTTTTGCAGCAGAGTGGACACCTTGTACTTATATCTGATATATCTTATAATTTATTTTTAGTTTATAATTTTATTATGCAACATTTATTTATGATGCTTGTTTATTTATTTATATATTATGCATAACAAATTTCCTGACTAAATTTGGCGCCATAGTTTTAAATTTTTAAGGCTAAAATAGTATTACTAAATAGCACTACCTAAAATTGTATTACAACCTATGCCTTAATCATCAAAACAAACAAAAATTTGTTATGATTAATAAGATGTCTAAGTGAACGTGGATCCACTCCCTGACGTAATTAAACAGTTGGATTGCCACAAAATTAATTGTTTGCGCAACGATAAACTGATTTTTAAAACCTAGGACAGTTTAACTCAAAAACAGATATGGGCCGTAAGATATACAGATTCTGAAAAACCCAGTTAGGTCAATAAGAAAGATGACTTGCAAACTAGGTGTAAGTGGCTCTACTTTTGCAACTCTGTAAAAATGTTAATTCAAGTCTCTATTGTTTATGCTAATAGTTGATTAGTAATTAGATTCTGTTTTAATGACGTTTAAAGAAATTAATAATTCCTTTAAACGTCATTAAAACAGAATCTTTTTCATTTTTAAAAAAATTGATGTCGTGAGCATTAGAATTAACAGTAAAAGTCTTTTTCAATCTAAGTATGCAAAGGATCTTAATGTATTTTTCGATAAAAATGTATCATGAATTTTATACCATGCTACGTTCTCCAAAATTCTCATTACTAAGATTAATTTTCTATACCATGTTCGCTTCTCATCATAGCTGTTGTTGTGTTGTTGGGGATCAAAAAAAAGCTTAACTCTTTTGAACAGAAACCAAGTTTTAGGAAAAATTTATTTGAGTATTCATTTATATGTTTTATTATTGCTTTGATTTATTATTACTTAACCGCATACAAGGCCGTCCCAAGGTTTGGTGGCGCCCGGGGTGCCCATAGTTGCGGCGCCTTCCTCCTTCTAGTAATAGTCGCGTATATAAAATTTTTGTGCTGCCACCAATACTTAAACCACCTACCAATCTATCATTAAGATATATATATACATATGTATATATATATAATATATATATATCGTTTTTGCATCATCAATAGACGTAGGTAGGTAGGTAACTTCAACTTGCTGAAACTACGTTTGTTGCGAGCCACTGTCATTGAAATTGTCAGCAATATGCGTAGTGCTATTAACAGATTAGTAAAAAGGTCTTTTTTGTCGGTTTTATTGATTATATTGAGTGGTTCTAATGATAATAGTGTTTTCTTAGCCCCAATTTGTCAAAAACAGTAGCTATCAAACCAACGTGTTTAATTTTCTTTGTACAGCTCTTCCCCATTTATATCTGAAATAGTTTTCACAGTCAGGTGTTCTAATAACATTTTATAATCCTCTTTAAGTTTGTCCTCTAGTGGTACTTTTTTCAGATCAAATAGGAAACGCCACTTTGACTCGTATTTAGAGAACCTGTTTATTCATAGTTAGGGACAAAAAAATCATTTTTGAAAGACTCTTTTGTGTTAGAGAAGTGGCCAAAGCTTTATTGATGCAGAAAAGTTGTATTGAATCTTTGAAATACTCCAAACATTAACATAGACTTCACTAAATGGTTTAGCCTCGTCTGATATAACTACGTTCAGGCTGTGGTTACCACAGGGTGTAAATAAAGCTTGTGCATACTCTGCCGAAAATTGAGTTTGAGCACTTTTTTGAATTGTATCTGTATTAGACCCGTTGTCATAGCCTTAACCACTACAGTTGTTTAGGTTATATTTACCAGTTATCTTTACCAGTCGACTCTTCACCTACAAGACTTTAGTTCTTCAATTAGAATGAGCTTTACCAGTCGACTCTTCACACACTGCATATCCAATAAAATTTTCTTGGACAATGACTTTCTTTGGAAATTGCTTCATTTTCTTCATGAACATAGCGAATGGTTAGAGAAGTTTGGCCTTTTTGACTAAGGTCTGCAGCGCAATCCAAAATGACTAAAAAATACTTTCAACACTTTACCTCGTTCTAACAGCTTCTTTTACATGCAAAGCTAAGAGGTTAGTAACTTTGAAGTTTGATCAAACATGGCAAGGAAGACAATAAGCTGAAGAGTATATAAGCCATCTCCTCTTACTTGTTTGTCATTTCTTGCTACCCGGTATCGAAATTTATTTTAGAAATGGCGTTTTTTGATTTTAGGATATTCTATATTGTTCTAAAGGAAAAGTAATTTTACTTTAATAATGCAGTCTCTCTCTCTCTTACAGCCAGTCGCTCCGGCTAAGTAAACGGGTTATTAGATAAGAACCTGCAAGTGTCACTTCTGTGAAAAAAATCTTTTGTAATTGTAAAACTGTTATCTGTTTCAACTACTATGGCCCAAGGACGAAGTTGATGAACATATGGTAAAACTAGCGGAAGACGTTGAACTATACAATAGAGGGTTACCAACATTATCTTCTTCTTGGTTAGATTGAGACGGAATGGAGGTCTCACAAGATGCTTTTAAGGAGTTCTTATCACACAAAATGTTTGATTCACAAGGTTGGGAAGAACTTGGAGAATGAAAAGAATATGTTAGTTTTGACACTTTACTTAAAACAGCTTCATTAGCTGCTTCAGAGTCCTTGGCAAGTTTTTTTCTCTAAGAACCTGACATCTTTTTTAACATTTTCAATAAAAAATTATTCAAATTCAAATTAACATAGTAAAACTTTGTTTTTGATTCTGGAAACATAAACATAAACTCTTCATAATGAAAGTTTTTAAATTCATCATTAAGGTTACTTCTGATTAAAGTTTGCAACCCTTTTTATTAGAACATTTTTATCAACTTACTTTCTTGTCGGTTTGTTTATTTTATTATCCGCTAAACAAACATGAGTTGAGTTTAGCGTTAATAATCGAAATTATTTAAAAAAAGTAATTAAAACGAAATCGAAAAAAACAACTTTACTTTAGCTTAAATAAAAGAAATTGTTAAAAAACTTCTTAAAACAAACTTTAGTTTAGTGTAAATAAAAGAAATCATTAAGAAATACATTAAATAAAACTAAAAAAAATTTTTTTTTAAACTAAAAAAGTAAATCAATATATAATACATTTAAAGAATATTTTTTATAAAATTTTTTATAAAAGCAACACTAAAAAGTAAAAAATAAACTTTTTCTTGGGACCTAAGGTATTTGCCTACGTATTTTTAAAGTCAATGACGTAAAATGTTGGGCGCCCAAGGTTTGAATGATTAAGATATTTTATGAAGTTATGAAAACTACTTAAAAAAAAAAAACTTCCGCGGCGCCCCATCAGCCGCGGCGCCCGGGGCAGCTTGTCCCGGTTGTCCCCCCTGGGAACGGCCCAGACCGCATATTCAGTCGTGTGACAAATTATAATGGCTACCTATGAATTTTGATCATTTTGAAATTTAATCTCATTTTTTTCATATGACGAATAAAAATTCATTATTGTAAGTTAATCTTTTGTTTGAAATAAAGCTTTAACTCATAAAATCAGTGCTTTTTTTATTTGCTACACGCAACACTGTCACTTTTGACAGCCATTTTGTATGATGTCATAATCTTTTCGCCGTACACATTGAGTTTTATTACCAGAGTTTTAAATTTGCTTGTTAAGTTATCTTTAAAATATTTATTTAAATCAGTAAAAATAATATTTCTTGAATAATATATAAATAAAGAATAATATTTCTTTCTTTTAAAGTAAAAATTGTATTTGATGCGATATTTTTAAAGTTATGAGTTTATATAACCTAATTATAAGTTATATAACCTACGCAAATTCTTAATTGTAATACTGAAATGTGATTACTTTAGTTATGAGGCAAAAAAAGGACTCGTTACCACAAATAGCCAAAATCAGGACACGTTTAATAAATACAACTTTTTCTCAACGAGAAATTGCTAAAAGAATGAGGTATTTTGCGGAGATTTTTTAAGTACATTAGTCACATAAAAATTAAAATAACAAACATTCAAATTTGAGTAATTAATTAATAAAAACTTGTGGGTGGCGATAATAAATTGTCACAGGACTATATATATAATTTTTTTCTTATTATTTGTTTTATTTAATATAGTTTTTAGATATAACTATATTGGTTAGTTTTTAATTATATGATTGGTTGTAAATTTCATATTTTTATGGATAATATAAATGAAAAAAAAAATGTAGATCTACAAACTTGTTTTTTCATTAATATTATATTATTATTATTCTATATATTACATTATTATTTTTTCTATAACTGATTTTCAAAAATTGGTTCCGGCAGGAAGCAATTCTAACAACAACGTATAAAATCGTTTTAATAATATTTTAAATAAAAATTAATTAATTAGTTAAAGTCGAGATTTCATTTGATAATATCTAAGAATTTATTTTGAGATATATATTTGAGAGTTTAAATAATAAGTCAACATGCAAACTTATTGTCATATATTAATATACTTTTTTATAATTTTTTTTTTCGAAAATGATTATGTTTATTTTTTTTTTTTTTTGAGTTGAAAAAGTGTGAAAGTTATTTTCGACAAGGTTTCTTCTAAAAATCTTAGAGCGCGTAACTCTCTATAAACTTTTTAAAACAATTGTAACAATGATTGAAAAGAAAGAATAGTCTCCTCAAGTGTAGTGGGGTCCTCCTCGAGTGTAATGGGGTCCCCTCAACTTTAGTGGCCTTCGAGAATTGAACACACACATACACACACAAATCATGTCATTCAAATTAGTTTTATTTTAGCTTTGACCAAGAGTTTATTTATTCTTACTAACTAAAGTATAGAAAAACTCAAAGCTCATTGTTTTTCTTAACCAATTGTTTTTCTTAACCAATTGTTTTTCTTAACCAGAATCCTAAAATATTAATCTTACTTTAATGTTAAACAATGATCATTAAAAAAAAAAACTAAATAAAAATTTTTAAAAAGTCTTTATTATTAAGGAATAAAAAAACTCTGCCCCTTTTTTTTCCCTCGAAAGACAATTAAGAAAATGTTAAAGTTTTTTTTGCTTATGTAAAAAAAGCTTCTTGTTATCTTAGTTGCATAAAGAAAATTAATTGATGAAAATCTGCTATATGACTAATTGCGCAGAAAGAAGTTTATTGATAAATACTTATCGATGTAACTTAGACTACATATTAAAAATGAAACTGAAAACCGTCATAAAGAGATTATTTAATTTCTAATAGGGAAAACATTCAGCTTAAATAATTTAGTTTGAAAGTATTTATAATGTAGTTTGTTTAGTTCAAAATCAGAACTACACATCATTTTCAAAATCTTATTAACATTATTGTGAAGCAAGGCTAAAATGTTTACGCAAAATCATCATCATCTTCTTTGCACCCATAAACATAATATATATACATTATATCTTGGCTTGCATTTAAAAGTTAATTTGCCTACAAAATTATTTTTTACTAATTGGACATTAATGACTTTTATATTTATAACGGACACTTAGCAATTTCCCTAATAGATATAAATAAGTTAAATTTTGAAAAAGAAAAAGAAAATAACAGTTGAAAAAACTTATGTAATATAAAAGTGAGGTAAATAGAGAATAATAAAGTAATATAATCACCATAATTAAGAATATGTTATTTGGAAGGATGTGATTAAGAATATGTTGTTTGGAAGGATGCGATTAAGAATATGTTGTTTGGAAGAATGTGGTTAAGAATATGTTGTTCAGAAGCATGTGATTAAGAATATGTTGTTTGGAAGAATGTGATCAAGAATATGTTGTTCGGAAGAATGTGATCAAGAATATGTGGTTTGGAAGAATGTGATCAAGAATATGTTGTTTGGAAGGATGTGATATAGAGTTTCAACATTTGAGGGAAACATGAAAATCTGGTTCCTCATAAAATATTAAGGGTGTTTCCTTTTCCGAACAAGCTATATAAGAAACTTCTTTTCAAACTTTTAATTATTAATACATTTATTGTTTAATCATGATTTAAAGAATTTTAATAACTTTCATTCTTTTTCAAAATTATTCAATTTTTTAAAATTCTTTTTAATTAAAACAAATTTTAACTTGACCGACGGGCGCAGCAAATTATCAACCCGTGCAGATCAGTACGTCAGTAAGTGTTTTTTAGTTGGATCGTTTTGAAGGGTAAAATTTTTACATTTACTATTCTAAAGACTTTTTTTATCTTTTTTTTTATTTCTTTTCAATGCAAGTTTAGATAAAAGTTCATAAACATAAGGTATTTAAAACTAAAAACTTGTATCTATGATTAAAAATAAATTGAAATAAACTTTTATCATGCATTACTAACGAACTAGTTTAAACAGTCAAAGTAAATTAAAATTTTTTTCAATTTATTTTTTTAATGTTGTTACAATCAATTAGAGCCATATAAACTTGAAAACATGAACCTTTAAAAAATAGAATTATGCGGAAACAAGTCAAGAACAATAAAATGAAAGACGTGGCGTGGTTAGAGCTCAGACCTCATGCTTACTTAGGCTGCGCTCTGCTATTGTCATTACCGCTTGTATTTTTTATAAACGTTTCTCATGCCTATACAGTTTGCAAGCCTCGTTTTAAGCCAGCCATGTAGCAAAAACTATTCACCTTAATTCCATTTGATTACGCATTTAGCTTTCATTCTGCTATTGTTTATAGAACTTTAAGTCTCCGTTATTGTTTGTATAAGTTTTTGTATCTTTCTGTAAATATTTGCTGGTTTTTAAATTTTTTTTTTCTGTTATTGTTTGGATAGTTTGGCTCCATATTTTAAGATTTTGATTTTCTGATCAATTGTTCATCTAAAATCAAAAAAATTTAACAAAAAAATAAAAAGTTTTTTTAATCTTTTTGTCACAAAATTATAGTTATTTTTATTTATAGACACAACCAAACTTTGATTAAAATAATTATAAACTCTACCAAACTTTGATTAAAGTAAATTTAACGCAGAATTTTCTCAAATTTTAAATAAAAATCTGAATTTTCTCCTAACAATTCACTAATCAATATATCGTTAAATAATGATATATATGATAAACAATTCTTTTAATCTTGGATTAAAAAGTAATATTAATTAAACTTATTAGTCTGCATTCACATTCTCAGTGTTGTTACACATTACTATATAAAAGAAGGCGTAAAACTGGATAGATGTGTTAAGTATGTTAACTCTTTCAACCAAACTGTTAGACTTTACTTGTAGCAATTTTCTTTAGTAACAGCGAAACGAGGCACATATTTATACATTAAACAAAGTAAGCAACAATCAATTCAATATAAAAAATATTAAATTTATATGTGAGGACCCATAAAAATGGGTTATGTAGGATTGCTTTTGAGTAAACTTATAACTCTTAAATGTTTAAACATTTTAGAGTCATAATTTACTTTTCAAATTTACATATTTTCTATTATAACACACATTTTTGGAAAAACTTTTTTTTGAGATTGTAAACTTTTTTCCCAAAAAAATATTGACAAAAAATTTATGTGATTTGATATCCCCTCAGCAATTGCATTTTTCCTGAAGATGTATCTGTGGAGAGAACATTGGGTATCCTAATCAACCAATAAATAAAATGTTTAAAGAATTTCTCTATTCAGGATGCTAAAAGAATTTTTCAAAAAATAGAATCCAAATATGTTGCGGCCGACTATAGAGAATCTGGGCCTCGGCTATAAGATAAATGAAAACTAAAAAAAGTTGTGATCTCATCCGATATATTAGTACAACTAAATATTAACTAACATATTTTACAAAAATTCAAATGACAACTTTATGCATTTAGCACTTGTCCACAAAGCTAAAAAATTAGTTTTAAATTCTTCTCCTTAAGTATTTTTTTTAATATGATCCAACCACGATTTGGTTTAATTTTGTTAACTTTTTGCATATATTTAATGAGTATTTTTTATATACAACAATAAATCTGGGCATGGCCGTAAAAAAGTATAAACCTTTTTTTTTAAACTGCATGTCCTAATTGTATTTACTTTGTATTCTGTTTGGTTTGCCTGAATGAATTTTTTATATTTTCTAATTTTTTTAAATATATATATATATATATATATATATATATATATATATATATATATATATATATATATATATATATAAATATATAAATATATATATATATATATATATATATATATATATATATATATATATATATATATATATATATATATATATATATATATATATATATGCCGTTGCAAACTTGCTAATTAATGGTCACCTTACAATTCACATCTGTTTTTATTCAAATTGAATTATAAAAAAGCAAATAAATAGTATATGCAAAAATAATTTTTTTAAAGTTATTTACAGCATTTGCAGTGATGATTCATGAATTTTAAAATTTAATTTTCCCATTTTTGCATTATTTTCAGGATTTAAAGACCCCAGCCATTCATTTACCAGCCTTTCTATCTTTGTCATTACATTTACAAATTTACAAATTGTTTATAACATTAAATATAAAAGTATTTTTTCATCATGTAATTTTATATGTTTATAATATTTACGTATTCTATAGTTTTGATTTATGACACTTTGTATGAGAGTTTATTCAATTTAATTTTAAAAATTTACAAACATTAACGAATACGAGTTCACTTAATGCTAGTTTTTTATTATTTTGAAATTATTTTGTATAATTAATATGATTATATAATTCATATTCATATAATTTTATCAACCCCGATATGTCATGACTTCTTTAAGTTATGCATTTAAAAAAAAAAAAAATACAGTTTTTCCGTTTTTTGCTTTATAAAAACACTCCCAGCTCAAAAATACATAGCGAATTGAAATAAGTTTATGCATTATAGTATACAGCAGTAAAATCGGTTTTAAAAAACTTTTTTAAGAATTTATAATACCTTGGTTAAATTCTATACGAAATCCAGCCTTAAGGTGGATC